AATGATGACGGCTGATACTGCTTCTGCTGTGAGTTCAGCTGCGACTACTGCTGCCACAACCACGACGACGACGACGACGACGACGACGACGACGACGACGACGACGACGACGACGTCGACCACGTCCACGTCCACGTCCACGTCCACGTCCACGTCCACGTCCACGTCCACGTCCACGTCCACGTCCACGTCCACGTCCACGTCCACGTCCACGTCCACGTCCACGTCCACGTCCACGTACACGTACACGTACACGTACACGTACACATACGACTACTACTACTACTACTACTGCTACTACTACTACTACTACGACGATGTACGACGACGACTACTACTACTACTACTCATTCGAGCACAGCCGATCGAGTCAGCTAGTGAACAGCTAAGTGGCAGCGACTGTTCGCCGGCGCATCGAGTGCGCTGAAACCACAGTGGGACTCAATGCTACGAATAGCCATGTAATTGACTCCAGTCAACATTCAACAGACAGTACAAGGAGCTTGCTCCTTCGCTATACACTATACAGCAAGCTCACTGGAAGGTCAGCTCAATGGAGGAAAGCTTCCTGGGCACTTCAGCTGTAGATCTCCACATCACACAGGTGCTACAGGGACTCATCGCATCCGCAAATTGCCTCTTCGCCCTTGTGCAATGCAGGCCTGCATGAGTCACGGGCTCGCGAGGGCCATGTGTAGCAGGAGCGAACAATCCACAGCGAATGATGCCACATTCCCGAAGATGGACACCCATTGGCAGTCATCCAGAGCAATCCCACTTAGTCATGAACGTGGTGGCCGACACGTCGGCGGCACCTGTTTAGAGAGCTTGTCTGCAAGAGAGCCGGCCCCTGCGCTATACATTGTACAACCAGTTCTTACTACAAGGTCAGCTCAATGGAGGAAAGGGAAAGCTTTCTGGGCACTTCCAGCTGTAGCTCTCCACAGTAAACAGGCACTACAGAGACTCATCGCATCGCGCAAGTTGCCTCATCGACCTGCAAAACTGTGAGCCTGCATTAATCACCGACAGGGGCCCGGGTCCGATTGCGGTCCAAGCCGAGGCTGTTGCCGCCGAGGGATTTAAGCAATGAAAAACGCAGGAGTGAATTTGCAGCATGTCACCACATTCCGAAGATGGAGCACTCNNTCATCCAGAGCAATCCCAGTCAGTCCGAAACGTGGTGGCCGAATAGTCGGCAACACCAGTTTGGAAAACCTGTCTGCAGGCCATAGCCACAAGTTTGTAAAAAGGGAAGGTCATGTGGCCGGATTGCGGCGCACAAGAAAACGTGTGGCCTCTGTGAGGCGCACAGGGCGTACTGTCCAACTGAGTTGGATGGGGACCGTGCACCTTTGTAGCTGTTTCACCGCAAAGCTTCGGCCCTTGTAAAGTTCACGGCATATCTTGTAGTTGGCTTCCCGCGGACCCTGCGTTTAGGCACCCAGCCCTCACACCACGAGGAGCACGTGTTGTTCTGGTCGAGAGATCTGCTACACTTACTGCTCCTCGTCCCGGACTTGGGACCGGGGCGGCTCATCATGTGTGGCCCTTGTTCGCATACACAATGCGCATCAATCTGTGACCGCCATAAAGTCATGGCATCTGAGCT